AAAAGTGTTAGAATCAATTGAGAATAATTTCTAATAATTAATTACTTGGTAAAATTTTAAGGCTCATTGGATAACACAAATTTAAGCTAGTACCATCTTTTGATGGACGTTGTGAGGGTGCTATAACCTTCCTCACATGTAACCGAACTCTCAAACCCTGTTCTGGTTAGTAAACCTGAACCTATTCTTTTAGGGACCCTTAAACTTAAGTGTTCCCTTGAAAGGACAGATTCCTTAGGAGGTCAATCGCACCTAGATAAAAAAGATTGGTGGTGACTCCCTTAAATTAATGTCTAGTGATAGATTCCTGGATCTAGACGTTATGACAGTAAGAAAGAACAGAAAGTTAGCTTTTAAGTTCATCTCTGAGAGAATCAGGTCAAAACTCAGTTCCTGGAGTTGTAGAACGTTATCCATAAGGGGCAAGGAGGTTTTCATTAAAGCGGTTTTACAAGCGATACCGACTTACAGTATGAGCTGTTTCCTCTTTCCAAAGGGTTTTTGCCAGGAGCTAAATAGTATGATAAGCGCATACTTGTGGAGCGCTAAAAAAGACCGTAGAGGGATCCACTAGCTTAGGTGCGATAAAATGTGTACAAGGAAAAAAAAAATAAAAAGGTAGAATGGGTTTCAGACATTTTGAGTTTTTCAACCAAGCGTTACTAGCCAAACAAGGATAGAGGTTGATCCAAAATCGCAAATCTTTGCTACACAGAGTTTTAAGCGCAAAATATTTCCCAGATGGAAATTTTTTAGAAGCACAGCTAGGCCGGAATCCCTCAATGACATGGCGAAGCATATGGAGCATGAGGGAAGCTCTGAAGTTGGGTCTGAGATGGAGAGTGGGCGATGGGCGACGCGTAAACATTTGGAATGATAGGTGGCTGCCTGAAAATTGTAGGCTCAATGAGGAGAGAAACGGACAATGTCAACTGGGAAGAGATGCAACAGTTGAAACGTTGATAGACACCCACCGAAGAGTTTGGAACGAGGAACTTATTTTCACCATTTTTCCAGCGGATAAAGCAAAGACTATACGCGCAATACCACTGAGCATACAAGACCATGCAGACATCCTGACGTGGGGTTTGGAGAAAGATGGATCATTTTCTGTCAGAAGAGCATACCACAAATTGCTAGGTAGAGACAGGCAAGACCATGGGGACACAAGGCATGAAAATGATGGGCAACGGGAAAGAGGAAAGAGGTTCTGGAGGAAACTGTGGAATACCGAACTGCCAAACAAAATAAGGATCTTCGGGTGGAAGCTCAATGAGGGTTTCTTACCGGTTTACAAAGTCTTGAGAAAGCAAGGAATAGATGTTCACAACTTATGCCCACGATGCGGACAGCAGATGAAACAATTGAGCATGCAATATGGGAGTGCCCACAAGTGCAAGAGATATGGAGACGTGCGGAAGTTTCTTCAAAGTGGACAGAGGAACGACAACCAGAGGACCGTGGATATTTGGAAGAAATAGCAGACAAAACTGATACAAAGGAGTGGGAATATGGTCTGGTCTTGAGCTGGGTAGCATGGAATAACAAGAACAGGGAAGTCAAAGATGGTGTGAGAAAAAATGCAGCGACAGAGGTGCATTTTGCGAGAAACTACCTCCAAGAATTTCAGCAGGCTAATGTGAGGAGATCACCCAGACGAGGGGGTGGTGAGGAACAATGAGAACCCCCAACGAGGGGAGAAGTGAAGATTAATTTCAATGGAGCACTAAATTCAACAACTGGAATAGGGGGTGTGGGAGTGGTTGCCAGGAATGAAAATAGAACAATTTTGGCTGCTGCGACAGTAAAGGTGAATCGTGTAAAGGATGCACATGTGGTCGAGACTCTGGCTGCCTGGAAAGCGATCGAATTAGCGGAAGGCATGCGGGCGGATACCATCATCCTAGAAGGCGATGCTTGAGACACAACGTGCAGAACCTAGCCTCGCTGTAACAGGAAATATCTTGGCAGATATCAGGTCATGTAGCACAATGTTCAAGTTCATGAGGTTAAAACATGTCAATAGAGATAGGAATGGTGTAGCGCACAGATTGGCACAGTATGCTTTGGAAATTAGTGCTAGCGAAACGTGGTACGGGGAATGTCATGTTTTCCTTCAAGATGCTGTAAACGCTGATCTTTGAGTTTTATAATAGAGAATTTTCTTCTTCTTCTTTTTCTTCAAAAAAAAAAAAAAACCCACTAATATCATCATGCATTCAACTTAATTTTTTAAAGAAAAAAACCAATAACTTTAATGTAATAAGAGGATTACTTTCATAATTACGACAGAATCAACATTATAATAATTTTGATCAATAATAATTGTTATAACGTATAAATTCATGGATATATTGTTAGATATAAATTAAAAGAGTTGTTATTAATTGATCACCTGATAAAATTTATCATATTTAAAGAAGAGTCTCAAGATTGATTTAAATATTTTTAGATAGTAGATTCTAGTTTACGAAATCAAATTTTAGGTTTGAGAGAACGGTTATACGTGAGGAAGATTATAACACCCTCACAACATCCATCCAAATGATGGTACTAGTTTGATTTCAGATTATCCAAGCCTTAACCATGTTTATGGTTTACCAAAATATTAAATATTAAAAATTGATCCTAAAATTACTACAGTAGTTTAATAGCAATTTAAGATAATTCTTTCACCTCAAGAGTATTCATTAATATTAGTATCCCACTCCGAAAAGATTTGGTCGTCGGGTTTATTTAAATTTTAGTTAAAGAAATAATTAGTAAAATCTTTCAATAGTTTGATAAAATTTATTTTGACACAGATCTCCTTATAATTTGGTAAGATTTTATTATAAGATTATTTTTTAGAAAATATATTAAATCTTTCAATAATTTGGTAAATTTTAATTTAAATGAAAATCCTCTAATAGTTTGATAGGATACAAAATATTTTAATAATAATTTTTTTGTGCAATTAGTTTATGAAATTCTCCAATATTTGGTAAAATCCATAAAAAATTTAAATTCATGAAAAAATTTTCAATAGTTTGGTAAGATTCATGAATTCGTTTTTAAAAATATTTTTTATTACACATATATCATTATTATTATTTTAAAAAATGAAATTTATGAAAATATTTAAATAATTTAATTTAAAAATAAGTAGAATACTTAATAAACAAATAAAACATGTAAAATGAAATAAATAAGAAAATATATAAAAAATAAAATAAATAAAAATGTAAATGAAAAAAAAAATTTGCAATCGGGTTAGGTCTAACACGCGGGTCATACGCGAGTTAACGAGTTCACGTACGGGTCAGGGTTGTTTAAAACGCTGTCATTTTGATGTCGTATAAAAACCAAAATTTTGCTTCTTTCCTTATAAGCTGGCCTATTCCCTTTTCTCTCTAAAAATATTTCTCTGATCTCTTTCTAACCCCACCAAAAATTTCAAAGTATCTTAGATTCTGGCCAAAAATCCTAGTTTTCGATGCCGTGAAATTCAAACGACTGTCGAAAACTTCAGGTTTTTCTAGAAACCAAATGAATCCAGAATTTGACTGCCATGAATCTCACTCGAAAATTCAAACTCTTGTCAAAAAATTCATCATAAACCTAGAAAAACCTAATTTTTTTTTTCTAAAAATCTAGTTTCTTTTAAATTTAAACAAAAAGATCTCAGAACCAATATAACATTCCAACAAAAATCTCATAAACTAACAAAAAAAGAAATCAAACTCAGAAACTCAAATCAGGTTCCCAAGAAACAAACCAAACCTAAAAAAACTAATACTTCAAAACCAAAATCCAAAGAACTTCTTCTAATCACTGAAAAAGTATTCAGACAACATGAATCTAATAGAAAGTAACCTAGGATGAATCAAAAGCACCCCATGTGTTGATTGATTCTAGTTTATAAAAGGATTTAATTCGTTTTAATTTAGCAAGTATTAATTCATTCTCAATCACTAGTTTGATCCTTTAAGATTATGTTTTAAAAATGATTCCGGTCAATACCTTCATTTTTTTTCCAATTTCATGCAAAAAAGATTTCATGATTGATTTCAAATATCCTTGATTTTGTTCTTGAGATTTTTGAATTTTTTTTACTAAGTAATAATAATAATAATAATAATAATAATAATAATAATAATAATAAATACTCATCTTAAAAAGACCTAAATCAAAGAATTGATTTTATCCCAAACAAAAATGGGTGTTTACTATGGTAGAAAGGTTTTTTGTAATTATCATAAGAGAAGCATGATAATAATTTTGATCAATTATGATAAAAAAATTTTCAATAATTATGATAGGAGTATTATAATAATTTTGGTTGATTATAGAATGAGGGGCATTACAATCATTTTTTACATATATCATTAAACTATCAAGTAATTGAAAGGGCATTATGATCATTTCCAAAAAAATTATTTTCATATTATTGTATATATTTACTTTTTTTTTTTGTAAAAAGGCAATAATAACAAAAGTAGAATTAGATTAAGTTAGTGGATTATGATAAAGGATTGATAAGAGTATAATAATAATTTATATTTAGATCTAATAATTTTAAATATGATATTATAAAAAATGATATGAAAAAAGTATAAAAGTAATACTGTATAAAATTTTAATAAAAATTATATATGAATTTGACAAAAATTAAAAAATATGTTTTGCATTTAACATCATGATATAAATTATAACATAATAATTTTATATTTTATATGAAATAAACATATTTAATTACATGAATTATTAAATTTAATTAAAATATTTTTAAAATTTATGCGACCTAACAATTGATAAGTGGCTGCTACTAGTTCAAAACATATAGCGTTATTGTCTTTTATAGAATAACAAATATGATATTGCCAGGAATTTATTGGGTTGTGACATCCTTCTTTTCTGTTAGCATAGATTAATTTAATACTAAAAATAATATATCGAGAATTCAATTTTGCCAGTCATTTTTTACAGTACCTTATCATTTTGTCATATTATAAAATTCTGGTAAGACTCCCCCTACATATTAACTTGTACCTGAACCAAAATGAAGCTAAAACCCACTTGAAATTCACTGTGCAAAAAATCAGTTTCTGAAAAAACTTGAAATAACTTCTCTTCTAGCTCCGAAGCCTGCAATTGCAATCATGTTTTCGACCAAAGAAATGCCTTCTCCATCATCGTTGTTCTCGGCGTATGCTTCCATGACTGCTTCCATCATGCTTTTTCGATCCATGGTCAATGATCTCATACCTTACCCTATCCGAAACTATCTCTTCTCAACTTTGTGTTACTTCTTTAAGCCTCGCTCTCAAATACTCACTCTGATTATAGAAGAATCCAATGGTATGGCAAGGAACCAAGTCTATGATGCATCCGAAATTTACTTGTGCACCAGGATCAGTCCCAACACTAAGAAGCTGAAAATAAGCAAAACCCCTAAAGATCAGAACTTAACAATTCGGCTCGAGAAAGGTGAGAAGATTGTGGATTTCTATGAAGGCGTTGAGCTTAAGTGGAGATTTGTTTGCGCAGAAGCAGAAAAGAGTAACAACCCAAATGATCAATTTCTTCCAAGAGCTGAGAAGCGATCGTTTCAGCTCAGTTTCCACAAGAAACACAAAGACAAAGTTTTGGCTTCTTATATGCCTTATATACTCGAGAGAGCAAAGGCAATTAAAGATGAACAAAGGGTTTTGAAGATGTTCACGCTCAACATGCGAAACTATGGAGCAATAACGTGGGAATCCATCAATCTTGAACATCCAGCAACTTTTGAGACGTTGGCCATGGACCCTGAGTTGAAAAATGCTGTTATGGAGGATCTTAACAGGTTTATTAAGAGGAAGGAGTTCTATAAAAGGGTTGGGAGAGCCTGGAAGCGCGGTTACTTGTTGTGTGGACCTCCAGGCACTGGAAAATCAAGTTTGGTTGCGGCCATGGCTAATTATCTAAAGTTTGATGTGTATGATTTGCAGCTTGCTAATATAATGCGAGATTCCGACTTGAGGAAATTGCTGCCAGCAACAGGGAATAGATCAATACTTGTGATTGAAGACATTGATTGCAGTGTTGATCTGCCTGATCGACGGTATGGGGATGGACGCAAACAACCTGATCACCATGTACAGGTTTGGGTTCTGCACCATAATTTAAAGGATAATTACAATTTTCATCTAAAATACTTAAAACTCGTTCTCAGTAGGCAGATAAACTTAGGATTATTTTCATTATAAAAGTACATGAATTCACCAAGGGTTCATTCAGTACTATTATAAAATTATTGGCCAAAAAAGCTGGTTTTAACTGGAAACTGGAATAGAGAAAGCGTTTCAGCATGCTCCGGACAGAGACTATCTTACAAATATGACTGTCCCCACTTCCTTCTTTCTTCCCCAGCCTTTCCTTATCGGTACCCACTTTACCTCTTTTTGACGGACTCATTACACAAAGCCAACCTGTCACATAAGAAATTCTTAGGCAATTGTTCATTGAATAGCAGAGCTCAGAAAAGATGTTTTCGTGGTATTTAAAGTCATGATCATATGATGATGTCCTTATCAGACCTGTTTTTTTGTGTCCTGTGGTTCATTGAACAATATCCTGGCTTTTAGGCTTTTAGCCTGTCCAAGTCATGATCAAATTAGACCTTGGTACCTTACAAGCTTCATGGTTCAATGTATCTTTCATGTGTGGTTCAACTTTCAATCTAGTTGTTAAATCTATGCGCCCTTTGCATACCATTTGGAAAGGTTAGTCTATGTTCCTCTTCCGCGAGGTGGATGGACGACAGGAGATTTGAAAGGAAGATTTACTCCTCAAGACAGGTCTCAGAGATTATGCTTGTCCCCATCATAAACTGAGCTCTTACCTTATTTACAAGCATAGCTAATTTTCCATTGCCAAAATTTGTTTACTTTGTAGGCCTTCCTTTGTATCCTTATATACAAGATTGCGAATTCTCTAACCAAGTTTTATGGAGTCAATTCAAATCATTTTTTTAATTAAACTAAGTGGAGCCGAATCAAAGCCTAGAATCAAAATTGAGGGCAAGCTGTTTATGAGCCGCTTGATTATTTGCAGTTCTAAAATTATCAGTTATGCTTTTGTCAAATGTAGAATAGAATTCTAAAATTATCAGTTATGCTTTTGTGAAATGTAGAATAGAATGTTTAATGTTACTAATACATATTGTTTTATGCAGTTGACTCTATCAGGGCTGCTTAATTTCATCGACGGATTGTGGTCTAGCTGTGGAGATGAGAGAATTATCATATTCACCACTAACCACAAGGACAGGTTAGATCCTGCTCTGCTGCGTCCTGGGCGCATGGACATGCACATTCACATGTCCTACTGCAGCCCTCAAGGTTTCAAGCTTTTGGCCTCGAATTACCTGGGAATTCGTGGCTACCACCACCTTTTTGGTGAGATTGAAGGCTTACTAAACAACACAGAGGCAACTCCTGCACAAGTTGCTGAAGAATTGATGAAAAGTGAGGATGCTGACATTGCACTTGAAGGACTTGTCAAGCTCCTCAAGAGGAAGAAGCTGGAAGGCGATGAACCAATGGATAAAGATGCAAAAAAGTTTGGAATTCGAGAAGCAAAAAGACAGAAAGCTGAGACCAAGCGTAGGTCTCCTAGGATCAGTAGAAGAAAGGGCAGCAGGAGAAGGAACTTATGATCGCTCACTAGCAATTAACTATAATTTTCATGAAACTACTTGCATCACTTACTAGTTCACTCTGCTAGTGTTCACTTAGCAGTAGAATTGGGTTGAGATTTCACTGCTTTGAATGAAACGTCACTTTTTTAATTCAGAAGAGATTTGTGTGTACAAATTCAGAATTTGAATGTTAATACCCCAAAAATTCAGCATGAAAACTTAAGCAGCGGTTTCTTTTTTATGAGCACATTTTTACAAGTAAAAATTGAAAGATATAACATATTAGTCCAATCATTTTAGCCACTGGATTTAGAAAAAAACATGGTAATTGCCTAATTGGTTATGTAGTTTAGCCCTCACCAGCAGAATAGATCAGAATTGAAACTGAAAGGGTTCCCTTTTGATCCTATTAATGCCTTCAACAACTTACAGAGATGAACTCTGTCTAATTCCAGGAACTCATTTTCGTTTGGCTCTTAATGCAGTCTATCATGTTTGAACTTTCATCCAAGCAACTCACTTTCCTCACAAAATCTACATGACAAGTTGATAATAAACATCAATCAGCTATCTATTCAGAAAATTCCCATGCAAAATTAATGCAGAACAGAAAACAGATGAAGATGATTCCAATGCATGTGCCAAAAGAAAATGAAGAATTAACTCCAGTGCTTTAAATCAAACTGTCATCACTAGAATAGCAACAAAGAAATGGGAACTTCTCAAGTTATTTCACGATCAAACAAGACTTCATTCGGTTATAGAATATAGACCCCTACCCATTGAAAACTCAAAGTCAAATCTGTTTTGTGATGGCCAGCGGTCACCTTGAGACATGAACCCTACCTGTCCTTCATTTCAAAAGAGAGGAGATTATTAGAGCGAGGCAGCTTGACTATAACATGGTTAGAGTAATATGTGAATTGGATATGTAGTAAAGTAATTTATTATTAATAAGCTTCATAAGCCAAATGATATCATGGTAATTAGTAGTAATTTTTTTACATGTAAATCTTAGATATTAAAAAGAGAAAATAACCTTTTAAAATGCAGAAATCACCCTCAAAATCAGACTCTGTAAAATCATCAAATGCTCAAATGTTACTCTGGCATGGTATGCTTTCCTTCTTGAGAGACTTGTGCTCAATTTTCGGTTCTCTGGATTCTTTAATCTCAATCTTTTTTGAGGCCTCACTCTCGAGTTCATTGTCTTCCATTTTCTTCTGCTTGAGGAAACTAAGAAATCCTTCGAGTGCAATATCAGCATCTTCATTCTTCATTAGCTATTCAACAACTTGCGCGGGAGTCACCTTGGTAGCCTCTAGCAGCTCCTCAATATCCCCGAAGAGCCGGTGCTTTCCTTTGACTCCTAAGTAATTTGAAGCCAAAATCTTGAAAGCCTGAGCAGTGCAGTAGGACATGTTAATATGCATGTCCATTCTTCCAGTGCGCAACAAAGTGGGATCAAGCCTCTGCTCGTGATTGGAGGTTAGCACAACGATCCTCTCGTCTCCACAACTTGACCATAAGCTGTCTAAAAAGTTCAATAGTCCAGACAGTGTCAACTGTATAGATTCAGCTAATTAGATACATTAACACCATACCAGCAGGAAAAACAAGGAGAAAAATCCATTCAATTAGTAAAAATGTAGAAAATTTTTTATACTAACCTGCTTTTCCTGACCACCACGCTTATGTCCACTGATATGTACCCGTGGACGATTAGGCAGACTCACAGTACAATCAATATCTTTAATCACAAGGATTGATATATTTGCAATATCCAGCAACAGTTTTCTCAATTCTGAATCAGTTTTTATATTTTCAAGCTGCAAATCATAGATGTCAAACTTCAGGTAATTAGCCATGGCTGCAACCAAGCTTGATTTACCGGTACCTGGAGGTCCATCTAATAAGTATCCCCTCTTCCATGATCGCCCTACTCTCTTGTAGAATTCCTTCCTCCTAAAAAACCTATTTAGATCTTCCGTAATCATATGTTTCAGCTCTGTGTCAAGGGCTAAAGTCTCAAAGGTTGCTGGGTGTTCAAGTTTGATGGATTCCCACTTGAACTTGCAAGAGAAGTGAGAATTTCCTAAGGTGTGTATCTTTAAAACCCTTGTTTCACTTTCAATCATCTCAGCAGTTTTCAACACAGAAGGCAAGTAAGAATTCAAAACTATGTCCCTATATTTCTTCTTGAAACGTAACTCGAAAGATCTTTTCTCGACTGTTTGGGAATCATTACGATTACCTTTCCTTTCGAATTCATAACAAACATGTCTCCATTTCAGCTCAATTCCTTGGAAGGAATCTGTGATCCTCTGACCCTTGTCAAGCCTAAATGCTAACTCCTTGTCTTTTGAACGTCTGCTTACTTTGATTCTTTTGCTGTCAGGGCTAATCTTGGTACTCAAGTAAACTTCAGAAGCATTAAAAACTTGATTTGCTTCAATCCCATCAGTTTGCTTACCAGAGCATAACCTAAGCAAGCAACTCAGAGCAGACTACAGGAGAGGGTAGGGAATGAGATCATTGAATATTGATCGGAAGAGCATCAGGGAAGTACTAATTGAGGCATAGGCAGTGAAAGCTGATGCTGCAGAGGGGTACATGTTTGAAAGAGACTTTGATAATTTGTTGAATACAGATGCAGAAGACATGTCTTTGGACTTACAATTGGTAAACAAATGGAAACTTTGGTAACCATCTTTCTCGTCACGAAATTGCATTCCAAGACTCACTTCAATTTCAATATACCATTACCCGGCCTCAAGTGTCATGTTCAACTCCAACATTATTATCCTGTATGCATTTGAGATGATGGAACAAATGCGCAATTATGTCATATAAAGCTAAAGTGTTCGATAGTCTGATTATTCAATTATATTCACAAGAAATAAATGTTATAAAGTGTTTAATGGTGTGAAAAAATATCATTACTCATGCTCTTATTGTTATATTGATAGCATATTGATCCTTGTCTTTGAACTTGCTGGTTCTTAAATTTTGCGTTAACAGGGGGTTTCTTTGAATAACTTCAACCTCAAAAGGAAAATGTATCCTCTCACTAGTGGAGCAAAAGCAAGCATAAATGACTAAAAAATCCTAAGAAAAAAATCTCCCCCTCTTTCTTTTTATATCAGGTTCGGTTGATAATGGAATTGTTACATAATTTGTCTTTACTTAAATGTGAAACTTTATTGCAGTCATGACTTGTGAATAGAGACTTGATCATCGACGTCTTATATGAGCTAAGAAATCCAATCTTAATGGATTTGATTGAACCTATTTAGATCCTCTCATATATTCTTTTTTGTACTTGATATTGCAAGGCTTTTTATGCATCTGAATTTGGAATTCTCTCAGGCATAAGCTCGAGTGCATTTGTCTGTGCAACCTCAACGGCTCGTTTCCTCCCCACTGGTTCCACATTTTAGGTTTTTCCTTGAACCTTCTCTAGAGCCTCTAGACTATACCTTTGCTGATTGTTGCATCTCAAAATTTTTGCTACAAGTTCTTTTTTACCTTTTCAGGTTGCTACATTTGTATCAATGCTTGCAGTAGTGTACATAAGAATATTCCTTGAAGAAAGTATACCAAATCAAGTCGACGGTATAACACAACCAATCTTGAAAGAAGGGGAAGATGTGATTCAACTGATGGTAATGCACCTAAAAAGATGTTAGTATTCAAGAAAATTCCATCCGTGAGAGATATTATTTGCTTGCTAAAAGGTAGGTAAGCCTTGCTATAGGAATATTTTCCTAGCACTTTGGCCTATTCTCGGAACTGGTAAAGTTAGGCTATCATTTTAAAGAAGTGAATGTATAAGTTGTTTTCATGACCTAATACTCACAATAATTTGATGTAATTGGGTTATTATAAATGTTTGAAATGACTAATAAAGTTTTAATTTTAGTATATCATTTTGCCAAGCAGCAATTGTTGTTTTCTTCAATAGTCTTACAGAAGGTGGGATGATATCTTCATCAATGGTATGACTTCCTTTCTAATTGCGAAATTACGACTTTTACCAAATAGAAACTTGAGATAAGTTTTTTGATCTTATGATCCAAATATACGTAGCTTAAAATGACAAAATCAATGATTTAGAAGCAAACTCAAAGAAATGAACAAGCAAACTAAAACCAAAAATTAATAGGGTAGTAAAACAAGAGCATGAAAATAAATTAAACAAAAATTTAAAACACTATTCAAGTAACAAAGTGGCTCATAGGTGAATGCTCAACCTAGAAGCAACCTTGAACCGTCCTTATCAACCCTCAAACAACCGTGAAAAATCAAAGAAACAACCTAAAGCAAACTTCAAAATCTGGAAACAGGTTTTGGACAACATCTAATTAAAATTAAGTTTCCACTCTCATTTGATAGTATTTGATCTCCAAATTTTTTGTGGAAGTAACTAACTAATATATGAACATGCACATAAATTTTCAAGAGCATTGGACATCGTTCAATACTTGAAATTGAACCAAAACCGTAGCAAAACAAAATCTGAAATTTCAGCTTGGAAAACAGAATAGCTCCTACTAAATCTTAGATCCAGCTCGAAATATATGGAATTTTGCCATCAAATTTTATAGAAGCTTAGATAACTCATAGATGAACAAGTACTAAAAAGCTTGGTACAAATTGAAACCGAATTGAGCTTGAAAAGTAACAAAAACCAGAACACAATAAAATCTGAAAATAAAATAACATTCTGGAAACAGCTTTTAAAAAAATTAAATTTGCTAGCTTAATTAAAACTCTTTGATCAAGAGGAAGCACTGTAAATCAGAATAATAAGTAGAGGAACAACATATAAAAAGCTCATGATTTGTTGAGACTGAAATTAACTTTAAAATTATTAAACATCAAACCTAGAAACTCAAAAACTGTGTTGAATATAAATTGAAATTGCAAGAAAAATGTTTGTTTAAAGAAACTAAAGTAAAGCTAAATAGCAAGTAAAGGAATGTAAAAGAAACTTAAAATAAATTTAAAACAAAAGGAAAAACAAAGAACACAGACTAAATAACCAAGAAGATAGCAACTATAGAGCTGCCAGCACTTAGAGTTCTAGCCAAGAAAAAAAATGCTGTGGCATGCATGAAGGGGGCTTTTTTATAGCCGAGTGAAAGCTTTTTTAATATTTGCTCCCAGCTTTAAATGATGCAATCTCAACCTTCAAAAATGCTACGTCAGCTCAGGGATATTTTGGAAGATAGACAATTACCCATAATTATTGGGG